GGCAGGCCCCGAGCGAGGGCTGGGGGCCTGCGGGGTGGCACCGAATAGGCACACACACAATGTTTGCACAAAGGGGCTGCGTCTTCGTTCTCGCAGTAGTGATAGGCTTCCTAGGATTTCGCCCATTCGTCGCCCGCGGCGGCCTCGTGGCCATCTCATACGCTGGCTGGGTTCCTCGAATTTTCGACTGGCCATCGCCCGTGGCGGAATCACGCGAGCCGTGCGCTGGCTGCGGTCTCCGGGCTCTCGCCGAGTAGCTGCCCGCGGCAACCTTGTACTCCTACTGATACTACTGGTGCTCCAACCTAGTAGTAGTAAGAATCGTAATAGTCGTAAGAGTCGTGGTAGTAGTCGTAGTAGTAGTAGTAGTAGTAGTAGTAGTAGTAGTAGTAGTAGTCGTAGTAGTAGTAGTAGTAGTAGTAGTAGTAGTAGTAGAAGTAGTAGTAGTAGTAGTAATAGTAGTAGTAGTAGTAGTACGTAGTGGTGGTGGTAGTAGTAGTAGTAGTAGTAGTAGTGATACGAAGAGTAGTAATACCACCAGTACCCGTAATAGTAGTAGTAGTAGTAGTAGTAGTAGTAGTAGTAGTAGTAGTAGTAGTAGTAGTAGTAGTAGTAGTAGTAGTAGTAGTAGTAGTAGTAACAGTAGTAGTAGTAGTCGTAGTAGTCGTGCTTATATATAAAGTAATGTTGAAATGAATCGTAAAAGTAATCGTAATAGATGCAGTAGTAGTAGTAGTAGTAGTAGTAGTAGTAGAAGTAGTAGTAGTAGTAGTAGTAGTAGTAGTAGACGTAGTAGTAGTAGTAGTAGTAGTAGTCGTAGTAGTAGTCGCGTCAGTTAGTAGTAGTAGTCGTAGTCGTAGTAGTAGTCGGAGTAGTAAGTAGTAGTGTAGGTCAGTAGTAGTAGTAATAGTACTGTAACATAGTACGTGATGGTAGTGGTGGAGGTAGTGGTAGGGTAGGTAGAAGTAGTAGCAATAGTAGAAGGTAGTAGTAGTAGTAGTAGTAGTGTAGTTTTTTAAAATGTAGTTTGGGGGGTAAGGGGTTTTTTTTTTTTTTTTTTGAAGGTTTTAAAGTAGTAAAGTAGTAGGTAGTAGTGTAGTAGTAGTAGTTAGTAGTGGTAGTATAGTGGTGTAGTAGTAGTAGTAGTAGTTAGTAGTAGAAGAACGCGTAGGACAAAAAGTCGCGAGTAGCAGTAGTAGTAGAGTTAGTAGTAGTAGTAGTAGTAGTAGTAGTAGTAGTCGTAGTAGTAGAAGTAGTAGTAGTAGTAGTAGTAGTAGTAGTAGTGGTAGTAGTGGTAGTAGTCGTAGTACTAGTAGTAGTAGTAGTAGTAGTAGTAGTAGTAGTAGTAGTAGTCGTAGTAGTAGTAGTAGTCGTAGTAGTAGTAGTTGTAGTCGTAGTAGTAGTAGTAGTAGTAGTAGTAGTAGTAGTAGTAGTCGTGGTAGTCGTAGCAGCAGTAGTAGTAGAAGTAGTAGTGGTAGTGGTAGTAGTAGTAGTCGTGGTAGTAGCAGTAGAAGTAGTAGAAGTACTAGGAGTAGTCGTAGAGTAGTTATGGCAGTAGTATTAGCCGCAGTAGTAGTAGTAGTAGCAGCAGTAGTAGCAGTGGTAGTAAAAGTCATAGCCGGCGTCGTCGTAGCGATGGCACTTGCAGTCGTAGGTGGAACAGTAGTTGAAATGCTCGTAGTAGTAGCTGCAGAAAAAATGGAAGTACTAGTAGTAGTTGTAGTAGTACCAGCAGTCTCAATTCAAGAAATACCAAGAGTAGTCGTAGAAGTAGTCGCAGCTGCAGTTGTCATAATAACACGGATGCAAGCATAATGTTAATGCAAGCAGTCGTGGTCAATAATAGTAGCAGTGGTACTAGAAAAAATAATAGTACCTGTAATTCAAACACTAACAACAACCGTAACAGTAGCAGTAGTAGTAGTTGTCGTAAGGCTGGTAGTAGTGGTAGTAGTGGTAGTTGTACAGGGTAAAAGTAGTAGTAGTAGTAGTAGTAGTAGTAGTAGTAGTAGTAGTAGTAGTAGTAGAAGTAGTAGTAGTAGTAGTAGTAGTAGAAAAGTAGTAGTTGATGTAGTAGTAGTAGTAGTAGTAGCAGCAACAGTAGTAGTAGCAGTAGAAATAGTAATAGTAGTAGTAATATTAGAAGTAGTGGTAGTGGTATTAGAAGTAGTAGCCGCAGCAAAAGCAGTAGTAGTAGTAGTAGTCGTCGTCTTAGTCATAGCAGTAGTATGTCATAGTAGTAGTAGTAGTAGTAGTAGTAGTAGTAGTAGTAGTAGTAGTAGTAAACGTAGTAGTAGTAATAGTAGTCGCAGTAGTAGCCATTGTCGCAGTAGTAGTAGTAGTAGAAGTAGTAGTAGCAGGAGTAGTAGTAGTTGTGATAATGGGAATGAAAGCAGTAGCATCAGTAGCAGTAGTAGTAGCAGTCGAAGTAGTAATAGTAATAGTAGTAGTAGTAGTAGTAGTAGTAGTAGTAGTAGTAGTAGTAGTAGTAGTAGTAGTAGTAGTAGTAGACGTATGTCGTATGCAGTAGTAGTAGTAGTAGTAGTAGTCGTCGTAGTAGTAGTAATAGTCGTAGTAGTAGTAGTAGTAGTAGTAGTAGTAGTTAGTAGTCGTATAGTAGTGTAGTAATAGTAGTAGTAGTAGTCGTCATGTTTTCGTAGTTCGTAGTCGTAGTAGTAGTCGTAGTAGTAGTAGTAGAGTAGTAGTCGTAGTAGTGAGTAGTAGTAGTAGTATTAGTTAGTCGTAGTAGTAGTCAGTAGTAGTAGTCGCAGTAGTTATTCGTAGTAGTAGTAGTAGTAGTAGTATTAGTAGTAGTAGTAGTAAGTAGTAGTCGTAGCAGTAGTAGTAGTAGTAGTGTGGTGGTGGTTTTGTAGTGGTAGTGGTTGGTTGTAGTAGTAAAACAGTCGTCGTAGCGTAGTAGTAGTAGTGTAGGTAGTTAGTCAGAGTAGTAGTAGTAGTTAGTAGTAGTAGTAGTAGTTAGGCGTAGTAGTAGTAGTATAGTAGTAGTAGTAGTAGTAGTAGTAGTAGCCGTAGTACTAGTAGTAGTAGTAGTAGTAGTAGTAGTAGTAGTAGTAGTAGTAGTCGTCGTCAAACGGCACTAATCAACATAATAAGACTGGTACCCATGACATGAAGTTTTAATCTGCGATTGGTGATGGATTCCTGGTGGATTCGAGAAGATGGGGCCGAATAGTTGCACAGCGTCGCCAGTGCATCGGCGACGTCGGCGGCGCACCGGCGACGCCGGCGCAGAGATCGCGGCGCGATCCTCCGACACAATTTACCCCGACCCAATCTGAGAGGCCTGGACCATTTCGATCGTTGCAGTTGAATTCCTTATTCTTATTCTTATTATTATTATTATTCTTATTCTTATTTGGGAGGCCTGCACCATTCCGATCGCCCCGAAACCTCCGCCGCCCAGCGCGCTGACGGCCGCCCGGCCGCTCAGCGCCTTGCGCATCACCTTCCCCTGGGGCTTCTTGGGCGCCGCTGGCACGCGCCCGCGGTCGGCCGACCCCCGCGCTCCGGGTGGTGGGCGGGGGCCCCGGCGCAGCCAGGCACCCCACCCACGAGGCCCCCCTCGACGGCTGGGCCGCCGAGCGGGCCCTCCTCCTCCTCCTCCTCCTCCTCCTCCTTCTCCTAACTCCCCTCATTATCCTTCTCCTCCTCCTCCATCCCTCCCTCCCCCTCCTCCCCTCCTCCTCCTCCCTCCTCCTCCTCCTCCCCCAGCCTCCTCTCACTCTCTCGACGGACATCCGAGGAAGCAGAACATGCCTGGGCCGCCGAGCGGGCCCAGGATGGAGCCCACTCGGCCGCAGAGGCCAGGGGAGGAGAGGGCCGCCGCCCGCTGCCCGTCGCCCGTTTTCCTGGGAAGCCCTGGATGCCACCGCGAGGTTCGCCTCGGAGCTCAGGTCGGAACGCACCCTGGGAGAGGTCAGGGGCGTAACGGTGTCGTACCTCTTGCCTTTCGCCAGAGCGGGCCCGATGCCCGCCAGCATCGTCGGAGTGAGCCCGTTCGGCTACCCACTCGGCGGCAGAGCGGGCTCAGACGCCGAGCGGGCTCAGGAGGGAACCCTTGGGCAGCAATCTCCTCTGGCAATAGTCCCCGAGGAGATACCGGGAGCGAGCAACATCCAGGAGCTTCCTGCGAGCGACGCAAAGACATGGGTCTTACGCGAGATGGCATGGCGACCTTACGCCGCGGCTTACGCGGCCCACCAGCGCGGCTCGCCACAACGGAGACGAGGGCGCTTCCGCGCGACCCTCTGCGGGCAGCTCACGCGCCAATGGCGGCGCAGTCGACCCTGTTGCATTTCGGCCGTGGGAGCGTCCGACGGGGCACCTCGTCGCCGCGGCCGGGGCCACCCCGAGATCCTGGGCAGAACACGCCCCAGGAAAGGCCAGATGAAATCGAGGAGGGCGAACGCCTCCGGTCTGGCGGCGCGCAGATGGGGGGGTAAGGGGGGCCGGGGGGAACTTCTTAGCAGGAGGCTGCTCCTCAGCAGCCTTCCCCCTTCCCCCTTGCCCCCTTCTGCGCGCGGCCGAACTCCAGATTTTGGACGGCCTCGAACGTTGTCGGGCCTCCGCAGGCCTCCGCCCGTCTCCAGAGGCCCTCGGCGACCCCACGAGACCTGGATCCGTGGGGGCCTCCGGAGACCGCTGGGCAGCTCCGAGGACCCGGACTCCCTTCGCCTCGGAGCTCCAGACCGGCCGATGTGTCCTCAGGAGGCTATCGAGCAGAAAGCTCGTCCCCAGCCCTGCAGGGACCGTCAGCTGGGAGCAAGGAAAGGCGACACCAACACCAGCAGGGCGAGGAGGTGCGCGGAGGCAAGGGGAGTCTCCCTGGTGGTGTGGTCCCCCCCTCTCGAGCCGCTCGAGACATCCCCAGCATCCAGCTCGGGGAGGCATCGTGGACCTCCTCGCTTGAGGTGGGCCCCCTGGTGGTGTTGGTATCGCTTCTCCTCCCCCCGAGCCAGAATCAAGCCAGAATCCCCAGGCCGGCCCTGGGGAAGGGCTCCAGAACTCGGGTGGGCCCACGTCGCGGACAGAGGCCGCGATCTGCGGAAGCCATGGGCCCCCAAAGGCCAAAGAGCCGGTCAGGGTGGGCCACCCCTCGCGAGTGTGAAGCACAGATCGTCTGGGCTGCCTCGGGACCTCCCGGCCCTTCGAGGGGCCGTCCGACCGCGGTAATGGACTTGCTCTTGGACATCTTCTGGCGGCGCGCACCAGCGCGTGTGGCGAGGGGGTGGGCTTCCTTCTCAGGATGCGCCGGGGCTTCCTAGAAGCTCGAGCGGCTTCTTCGAAGGGCCCAGAGGTTTTTTCAAGACGCCTTCCCAGAAGCCGGGGCGGCTTCCAAGGAGTCCCGCTGCCTTCTTGGGACCCCCCCGGCATCCTTAGAAGGCCGCCCCCCTGGCGCCACGCCCTTGTGCGCGCCGCCGAGCCTGGGTGATCTCGGACTCGGCAGTGATCTGCTCTGTCCTGTTCCTCAGCCTTCGCAGCGCCTTGATCGACTGAAGCGCCAGTTCGCCAGCGCGTTCCTGGTTGGCCTCTTCCTCCTTCTTCTTCTCCTCTTCAGGGTCCCGGGGTATCTCCTCCGCGAGGGTGACCTTACCCTTATGGATCGCGAGATCTACCGCGGCGGCTGCCCTCGCACTCATGCTTGCCATGTCCTGCAGGGCGATCAGGTCCTCTATCTCCCTCCTGAGCACATAGTGCTCTTCCGCCGGAGAATCTTCATCATTCGTCCGAGCTCCCTTGCTCTCGATACGCTTCGCAGCCTCCTCCTTTTCGATACGCTTCATCAATTTGTACCAGGTTTGGGGATTGGTCTTCACGTGCTCATCTAGATTCTGCAAGATCGCCTGCTTCTTGGCTTCCTCCAGAAAATCAACGCCAGCAGCGTCCAGGACGTTCAACTTCCTAGGTACGGAATCCGTGTTCTGAGCGTTCCAGTGCTTGTCCTGGACGTAGCCCAAAACGTTCAGAGCGACATCGCACCTGTGGTTCATCCTGGCCTGTCTCTCTGTGAGATCCGCGACCTCATCCTGCTGCTCGGACAGTATGTGCAGCAGGTCCTGGGCAGTGAGCACGTCGTACTGCTTTTGCCGCGATACGACCTCAACCTGCAGCTGACCTTCGAGAGGATCCCCAAAATTGTTGCACACCAGCAGCGGACCAGCCCAATAGTCCTCCAGATCGATGAATTGACTCCTGCCGAGGTAGGCGAAACCTAGAATCTCGTCGTCTTTCCCGTGGAGATTGATCTCCAGCGTCCTGTCAGTGGGCCCGAAAACAATCATGTCCACTCCCTCCAACCACTCCGCCTGAGACGAGGCCTCACCGACTGGAACCTTGAACCGCGTCTCTGGCTTGCCTCGGACAAGGCAGGTGTAGTACAACTGGTCGCTCTGCTCTGCCGACTGCTCGCGCAAACCCATCGCCCCCACCACGCGTACCGTCACCTCGCTGCAAATGCCCTTTTCCATCCCGTCCTAAGAGGAACAAGAAGCGGCATAAACATACTTTCTCAATGATGCGCGCGGACATCTTGCATCGGCGCTGAACATCCTTCTTCAGCGCGCAGCGCGCCAGCGGCGGCGCCGGGGGCGCCGCCAGAGGCGTCAAGCGCATATCCAAGAAATCTACGCGGACCTCCTAGACATGATGAGAAGAAGGAGAAGACATAACCATACACTTTTGGCGCTCCGTGCGCATTGCTTGGATCCGCGCTGGATTGCCCTCCCTATCGCACCGAACGCGCCAGGGGCGGCGCCGTAGGCGCCGCCAGGGGGCCCCAGCGCGGATCCAAGAAATCCGCGCGAAACGGCAGAGGTTTGTCTATTGCGTTTTGTCTCTTCGAATTGTGTTCATGCTGTGTCGTTCCCCTCGCCGTCCTTCATTTGCCAGGACACCGCCTCCCACACGCGGCTGAGCCATTGTCTTCTGCCGCCGGCCTGCTCCATCGCCTCGGTCGCCTTGGCCTTAGCCGCCTTGCTCTCCGTCTCGACAGCCTTCTCCCGGGCCTCCGACAGGGCAGCCTCGCGCGCTCTCCTGCGCAGTCCTTTGAGCAGGGACCGACCGTCCTGGTATGCCTACGGGCCTACCATTTCATGTTTTTAGAACCAGCAAAATTCGAATCACCAACAACAATGCTCTTAGAACACACGGCGAATGAGTGATAGCACGGCCCTCTCGGCCGGACATGTTCCGATAACAGTTCGTGCAGGCAACACAAGGTTCTTAGAACATTCTTCGGCTGGCTTATAGGCAAACCAGGGCGCTTCGCCACTTCTCGAGTCCTTGCTGATACTTCTGGATCTTGTCTTTGAACTGCTTCGCCTTCAGCACCGATCTCACTTCCGCGGCGCCCGCCCCATCGCGGACGTCCTTCAGGGCCACGTCGAAGTCGCTCTGCACTGTGTCCCTCGCCAGTTCTCTACTATTGAAGTTCTCGATCCTCTGTGACGCGAACTTCAGGTGGAGCTGGAACCAAGCGTCCAACTCGGTACAGAGGCTAATCCGCTGCTCGATATTGAGCCTCTCTAGAAGCTGGCCTGTGCGCCCACGCGACGAAGTCGACTTGGAGCGGCCAACCATGAGACCCGACGAGTCCTCGTCCCAGCCGTCGGAGCTGTAATGGGATGGTGGCGGCTCATCCGAGCCGCTGTCCGCGGAAAGCTCCCCGCCGACGAAAACTACTCTCCCGCGCGCCGCGGTATGCTTCGCCGCGGGCGAAATCGACATGTCGCCGTCGTCGATGTGGCGGTTGTGCAGCCGGCCGGACGTGAGGGCGTCAACTCTGTTCCTGGTCGGCGAGGCTCGGGGCTGAGCGCAGACATCATCAGACCACCGACGTCGTGATTTTCCACGCCCGAGGGGTCGGGGCTGTCAAATATGTTAAAACAGGGTCGCCCGCCAGGGATGCATACTGTGCCCGCCAGGCCTACATAATCTCCGAGTGTCCCTGAAAATCCCGCCTCGCCAATCCTGTATACCGCGGCCTCCAGGCCCAAAGAGCCACCGAGAATCCATGAGACTCCGACCTCGCCGTGCCTCTACAGGGAGGGGTCACGGCGTTACGCCGACCACAGACATGTGGAGGATGTCAGGAACAGACATCAAGAGCGCACACCTGCAGCAGGAACCAACGACACGCATCATGAACATGCACCCAGGGCAAACGTCTAGAACTGCCAACGCTAACATCCATCAGCAATACCATTTGTACCCATACGTAGAAACATGAAACACAATCGGGCACAGCACACGACGGGACAACCCACATACAAACAACACATGTAACAAGACCACACACCCAAGACACGCAACATGAAATGGCAACGCGTGTAAAAAAGTAGAACGCTGCTGTGAAGCGCCTCGAAGAAATCACGCGGGATACGCCATGCAGGTGGGGGTGAAGAAACTATGACGTTCACTTTGCTGCCATACCCAGCAGCCGCCCCGATTCTCTGTACGGGGTGCCCCTTGGCTTGCACCTCGGAATGATAGAGACTACTGCTCGGGGTCCAAGCTGGCAGTCGTCTTACATTCAAAGGGTGAGGTGGAGGAAGAGCAGGAATGCGCAACGAGCTGTGTTGTTGAATGTGGGTCGGGCGAAACATGAAGGAGGAGCAGGAGGAAGATGAACGCCTGCAAGAGCGCTCTAAAAGTGGAGTGTCGCGCGTCATGCCACCGCCGACCTCCCCCCCCAAGAGCTCGTATGCAGCTCGCATCATGCTACCTGCAAGTGACGGTGCGCCTGCGCGGTGCACACCTGCCCCAACCCCCCACATGACGAACGGCAAGCTCGGTGCTCGGCGCACTCGTGCCACGGCTTCCTGCAGGAGGAGAGGAAGTAAGATGATCCCGGCTGAGATGCCCAATGGGTTACAGTCAACCCGCATTGTAAGGATAATCGTCTTCCCAAGGGTACCCTTGCATCCTTGCCTCTTCGGTAATCTTCGGTTCATCCTCAACCACTTTCGATGGCCAGCCCCGCTCGAAGAGCATCGCCCAAAACTTCCACGGCCCATGTATCCTCACCGCGCATCCTTCTTGTAGGGGTTGACTGTAGGCGTTCAGGACCTCAACCATCGCGATCTATTCACACCAAGGGCACTAGGAACTCTCGACCACTCCCCGCAAGCTGGTCTCTTCTTCTGGACCGTCTGTTCGTTGACGGCCAGGGGGCCCGAAACGGGCCGCCCCAGAGGCCGAACTCGAGGTGGTATGAACCAGCCTCGAACTTATCCCTATGCTAGGACGCAAAAGGGCATACTTGTACTGCATGTGCTTCTCGGATGCGTGCGTCCGACCCGGACGTCTAGTACATCCCTCTTGTAACATGTCATTTCCCGAGCGGTGTGGCCAGAAAGCGTCCGCCACAGAGCATGTACTATAAGATTTCTCGGCGCGCGCGACGACGCGAACACAGTAGCAGTATGTTGGGGTGGCACCGATATCCATCATATTGACAAGCCAAAATGAGATGGCAATATCATGGATGTGCCCTCGGAGACTGAGGGAATCTTCAAGATCGCTTCGAGATGAGGCGATGCCGATCAGAAGGACAGGGATCTGTTCCAGGCTGGGACTTCACGCCAGCACGATATGCGTTGTCGGCCTTGGGATGTGGGGGGAAGCAAACACGCACGTCGCAAGCTCTTGTGACACAGGCGCCGGAGATCGGGATGGAATCCTTATGCCCTGCGCGATGGACACCATCTGGCTCTGCTGCTTCCCCTGGCTGGCGACGCCCGCGTCGTCGGCGACGACGTCGTCGCTGTCAACGGCTTCATCGTCTCGGCTGTTTTGGACGCGTCTGGAGGTTCTCGTGGCCACAGCTGGCTGCTCGGAAGAGAAACAGGATCGGCCGGGGGAGGGCTCGACCCGTGCAGAGCGAATCTTGCTCGGCGGGTGGGCGAGTTGGAGCGGCCGTCCAGGACCGCAGAGGGCTTCTCAGAAGGGATCGCGGGAGAGCCTTTGCGAGGCGAGATGCCTCCCCCCAAAAAGCCTGCCCCCTGGCCCCACCGACCAACACCAACCAAAAACCGATCTCTGCTGGGGGCCAGTCTGGCCACGACGACCCTCCAGGATGCCCAACAACTTCCGAGACGACAGCGACGACCCCGACTGGCGGAGCCGAGGCTCCCCGAAGACCCGAAGAAACCTTTCCAACTTAACTGCCCCGGTACGCAACACGGAACACGTGTCGTGTTGATACGGAGCTCACACGTAAGGTGAAAACGTAGGTCCGACGCGATATGTTCGCCAAAACGTGGTCCAATACGTGGCGCTAATACGCAACGTATTGACACGGACGTCTTGAACACGGGACGTGTTGCGTTTCAAAACGGGCGTATCGAGGCAACTAAGCTTTCAAAGGCCTCCGAGGGTCCTCCTCTCCGAAGGCCCTCCGAAGGCCCTCGAACGTCTGCGAAGGTCGCGAAAGGCCGGCAGCAGCGGCGGCGGCAGTGGCGAAGACGACGACGTCCGCACACCAGCAGGGCGGGCGCACCGAGGAGGCCCGAGAGATCCGAAGCGATGACGACGAGGTCCACGAGACCGTCGCCTACGGCGATGGCGACGACGACGGCGACAAGCGGATGTTCCTTCGACAGAGCCCGAAGCCCTTGGCAATCTCGGGAAGTCTCGAGAGTCTTCCGGATGCCCCGTGGAATCCGTCAAGAGTCCTCCGAAAAGGGCCTCTCTCGAGACCTCCCGAGGCCATCCACACTGCGACTGCGGCCCGCATAGCTCGCCGTGTGGGTGCCGCGGGCTGGGGCCACAACGACCGACGCATATATATATATATAATTAAATATAGATATACATATCGATCTATCTACCTATGCATACATGTACATATGGATACATATATAAGTGTGTATATTTATGAGCGCCTGGCAAATATACTGATCTGGAGTGCTCCATGCATCGCGTGTGGCACATGCGTCTTGCGCCCCGCAAGCGTCTGCAAAGGCGGCCTGCTCTTCAGGAGTCTTGCATGCCAAATTTGGACTGCAGTGAAGACTGCCGTTTATCCATCGACGCGTTGGTCGGTGAGGGCGTCTCTACGTGCCGGCACTTCTACGGCCAATCGCATCGCGCACACGGGCGCCTTGCATGCAACTGTTGCGATCCGTCGCTCTGTTCCTTGACGTCGCTGCGCGATCCAATCACCCGTGTGCAAAAATCGGTGTGTTCCTCCACCACGTCTTTCCGTGCTGCATTTGACCTAGTGTAGCCATGGTCCGATATCATCCTGCCGTTGTGTTGATCGAGACAGTTGCCCCCAGTAGTCTCCAGCGTCGGTCACTCTGTCGTCGCTGCATGTTGGTGTTGCATTGCTTTCACTTTGCGGCGTGGCGCTCAGATCGTCATTATCAACATGTGCGTTTGCATGCTGCGAACTCCGTTGTCAAGTCCCGCTGTCATACTCCACGCATCACAATTGTAGAACCCGATCCGCGGAAGAAACCCATGAAACAAACGCAGGCCTCCTTCCAGCAAGTACGGACGCCCAACCAGAACCTGCTTTAATGAATAGCACGTTCTCCAAGCCGCAGCAATCCTGATATCAAGTGCAACAGTCTGCAGATCGGACCGACCCAATTCTCAATCGAGGTAGTGGCATGCCCTGACACGGTTCAGATCTCAGTGTCCATGCCGTTGACGTCTATATTTGTTGAGTTATGGTCTTCGCGTATGGCGCCACAGCTGTGGTGGCGTATTTTCGCCTGTCTGAGTTGCAGTACCAAACCAACCTTCCTCGAAGGGCCCTGCGCATTCCCGATCATCTGCTTCACGTGTCGCAGGGACTTCGCACAACGTAAACGGTCATCAACAAAGCTAATAGGTGTAAGCCAGTGCATGTTTGACATCACCAGCACCACAACGTTTGATGTGTTCCTCTTCGCCTTTACCTGATTGGTGGCATGTTCGAAGACGCTGTCGATGAAGAGGCGCTGCGAAGATCGCCCTGTTCTACCCGACCCCACGCTGTAACTGGTATTCCTTGCTGGAGGGATCGGTTGTCGAATTGACTGTTTATTCCCGGTGTAACCTCGAAGAAACAGCTGTATCCTTCTTCGGCCCCCTGGTCAGCAACAGTATCCCATGCGCCTCAATGCATTATGCTGTTGACGGTCAAATGCACCGCGTCAAGACATATCATTACACACGGTTCGCACTCCGCTTCCAAGACCCCTAAATTTTCAAAACGAAACAAGCAAATTATGACTTGTGGTATACCGGATAAAGCGTATACCTGCCAGGCCATTGCTCTGCTTTTTGCCCCAAAACGGCATAAGTCATGGTTGTAGCAGTCGCGAACAAAAACTGGCGTAATGAAAGTAAGCGGTTGATGGGCCTAAACGCTTTGCGGAAAGTTCCCGCTCCCATGTTTGAACATGGCTTTGACCACGGCACGTCTCCACTCTGCCAACGCTGGCTGGGGCGTTCAAGCTAATGATACATCTGCACATCAAAAGAATACCACCCCTGATCGCCGAACATGAAAAAAAAAAAAACATCTCAACTACGATGCCCTTGCTGTCTGAAGCTTTGAATTTTGTGCATATGCTTCAATGCTGTCGGTCCGGTCGTTCTTGCATAATGAGAGGTGGACAGTTTACCGTCTCTGCAAGAGTCTTGGCATTCCGAAGGCCTGCGAAGGCCTTCGGGGACGGGCCAGACCGGCAGCGGGGCGCGGCTCTGTGACCCCAATCTCGCGGCGGGCCTGGCCATGGTGACGGGGGGGGCGCCCCAGGAAGACCAACAGAATCATGAAAATCTTGAGGACAGATCCTGTGCCCTCCCTCCACAAATCATAAAATTTGGACATCGACGGCCGCAGCGACGAAGATAATAACGACGAGGGAAATAATGACCCGTTTAGGACATATGTATATGTATATAGTTATTATTCCCCGGCTCGCGCTGGATCGCCCACGATTGATTCAAATTTCTCTGCCATGGGATATACCTCGGTGCACCTATAAAGGGTACGGTGTTACGGACAGCCGACCTTTAGCCGAATCGAAATTCAAAGGCTGAACAGCAAGAGGATGAAGGTAGGAGTAAAGGAAAAGAAAAGCGACACCATTGATGTAGGAGTGGTACGTGTGGGCAGCGGAGAAACAACATTTGGAAGTATGGGTAGAGGAGAGGAAGGGAGAAAGTGGAAGAAAATCCGGATGGATCATCCATCTGGGCTTACGTCGAACTGCTGCATCGGCTCACCAACTCGTCCGGCTCTATCCCAGCGCGTCGGTTGGAGAGGAGCCTGCAAGGCCTTCGGTCGGCGACTCCGACAGGTGTGGTTGGCTGTTCGGCGGCCGGCGTCGCCTTTGCGCGGCACCAGCGTTAAACGAGCAATTTTTGCGGCGGCAGCCGTGTTGCCAAGGTGTCCCGCTGCAGGGGTCGTTCGACCGCCCGCGCCAGGGCGCCCAGCTCCGCGATGGAAAACGTTCTGGCACGCAAGCGCCGATATTTTTGTGTCGGGCCCTGCGCCGCCCCGAAGGCACATCCGAAGTGCCTTCGGCGTGCGCGAGCGTGCGCGGCGCAGGGTGCGGTTTTTACCCCGCGCCCTGGGGGGCGGGCGAGGGCCTTGCCAAAGATCTCCGCCGCGCGCAGACGAGGGCTGGCCAAGCCTCTGGCGCGACGCGGTGCCCCCGGAGTCCCCAAACCGCATACAGTCGGGGCGTTGACCTAAGGAACCCTAAACAAGGAACGAGGCCCCTTTTTCTCATAAGTTGAACTTCGATTCCCCATGGGAAACCTCAGGGCAACCCAAGGCAAACTGCGAAGCAATCGAGGAACACCGAGCCCCTCCCAAACGAAAACGCCGACGGCATCTTCAGCCGCACCCTGGCGTAACAACACCCACTGTAGTCGCCAGGTGCAAGAGAAACTGTGTCCGCACTTCGCGAATAACTCTGCGCTCTCGCGCCGCCCCCCGAGGCGACTCCTTTTTTTGTTTCGACGCGTGGGGCTGTGTGCCAAAAGGTATGACTACAGTGATTGGTGTAAGCGTCTACGAACCTGTGCAATATGATCCTGTCCTGTTGGCTATTCAGGCTGGCGCACACGAACGATGCTGCTACTCACACGTGGCGGAAGGAGGCTGCAGCCGCCCCGGGAAGCAAAGGAGGAGGAGGAGGAGGAGGAGGAGGACTCGCGAACCACGACTCGCGAACCGACAACGGCTTCCCGCCCCCGCGTCGACCGGTAAGGCTTCGGGTTGTGCGCAGGCAGCGCCCTCAGGTACACCCTGCGAAATGCTTTAGAAATCATTGGTTAAGAAATTGATAGTCTCAGCATTTGAATAACAAAAACCCAGAATTTCTATTGAAACCTTAGGATCTACATCGAAACATTAAATATCATCGAGACTCTGGCCGAACACTTAAGTTTTCGTACGCATCGCCCAGGGTGTAGTCTCAACCGCCCAGCCCCGGTGCGCGGAGCGCCACAAGGGGTGGCGCAGGCGACGGCGACAGGATGCTGAGACCAGAACAACTAAGATCGCTCGGTGGGCCCTTCCAACTACTCCCTCCTCCCTCCTCCCTCCTCCCTCCTCCCTCCTCCCTCCTCCCTCCTCCCTCCTCCTCCTCCTCCCTCCTCCTCCCTCCTCCTCCTCCCTCCTCCCTCCTCCTCCCTCCTCTGTGGAGGCCGGCCTGGACTACTGGGGGGGGCTGCCTGCTCTCGACCTGGCGCCCTACCACCTTAGATCGGCGGTGGACCTCCCCTTAGCAGACCTCCCCTTCATGAAAACGGCCTGGGGCCGAAACCGACGGACCTGGACCCGCAAAAACGACGGCCGCGACGCCCCCTCGCGAACCGAAAACGGCCAATTCCTCAGTCGACGTGTCAGTGTAGGAGGTCTGTCCACCCCCGACTAGAACGGTCGGCTGCACGACAGAGTGGCCCTAGGCCCTAGGCAAGAGTGACCTTTGGTGCGCCTACAGTCGGGGCGTTGACCTAAGGAACCCTCAAAAAGGAACGCGGCCCCTTTCCTCCATAAGTTAAACTTCGATTTCCCATCGAGAAGATAAGGAACACCTGAGGCAAGCTGTGAAACAATAAAGGAACACGGAGCCCCTCCCCAACGAAAAGGGTTCCTTCTTCAGCGACCCGACTGTATGTTCGGGGGCGCGGGTGGGCCAGACCCAAACTCGCAGGCCGCTGCTGTCGCATCGCGTGCAGATATGCGGGGGGGCCCCAGCGGGACCACCAAAGGTCCCTCCGGCGAAGGATCACTCTGACGTGCAGTCGAATGAGGGCGAACGCTGCCGACGACGACGGCGGCGGCGGCGCGGCGGCTGCCCCATGTTTCCAAATGCTTTCTGAAGCTCCGTCTTCCCATCCACTTACCATATTTTTTTTGCATGGGAATCGACGATTACCCGTCGGAGGAAGTGCGTGGAAACATGGAGTAGGGAGGCGTTGAAGCAGATTGGGTTTCCGTCCGCCTCCTGCACTGCGAAGAGGTGAAACCGCTCGACCCTTGAACTAGGAAGGGGCTTGAAGTACAGTCGGACTCGATTGGACAGGACACGCGAGAGGACACAAGACCCTTCCGAGGGCCACATTGCCACAGGAATGTAGGAAGCATGGGTCGCGAGACACAGGACACAAGGGTACCCTTGATTTGGCAGGGTCGACCTACTAATCTGGGCCGACTGTAGACTTGGATATGAGAGCCCCAAGGGCCGACTGTAGACTAGACCGACCCTGCCAAATCAAGGGTACCCTTGTGCCCTGTGTCTCGCGACCCATGCTTCCGACATTCCTGTGGCAACGTGGCCCTCGGGAGGGTCTCGTGCCCTCTCGTGTGTCCTGTCCGATCGAGTCCGCCTGTAGACTGGGCTCCGAGAGCCCCGAAAAATGCCAACGTATTTGTGTCAGACCTGTTCTCCCTCCCGGCGCCCCACCTGCTCGCCATCGCGGGCCGCGTCGAGCACCGTGGACTCGGCCGCGCCCTCCATGAACGCCCCGGCATTGACCGGTCCCATGGTGCGGCGCCTGGCCCGCACGTCGGCGCCGTCGCCTGCGTCGTCCGCGTCGTCCGCGTCGTGAGCGACGCGGTCGTCGTCGTTCGCGTCGTCCTCGTCGTCGTCGTCATCGTCGTCCATCTCGTCCTCCTCCTCCTCCTCCTCCACATTCTCCACCCTCCCTTTCTCACTCCTTGTCCTCGCTCGTCGTCGTCGTCGGCGTCGTCGTCGTCATCATCGTCGTCGTCATCGCCGTCATCGTCGCCATCATCGTCGTCATCTTGTCGTCGTCGTCGTCGTCGATGTCGTCGTCGTAGTCACCGTTCGCGCCGTCGTCGTCGGCGTCGTCCGCGTCACCACCGTCGTCGCATGCCCGAGCGATGACCTGGGCATTCGGTGGAGTTATCGTCTCAGGGCCACGGCTAGCGATCAGCTGAGTCAGTGTTCGGGCCTCGCCTTCGTGCAGCTGAAGGGGCTCGGCCGTACCGAACGATGACCTGACTTCGCCTTTGACCCCACTGCTGGCATCGTGGAGCGTCCTCGTGGCCACGTCGTGAGTCCAGGTTGCAACAACTATGCTGCAACACACTTCCTCCTCGAAAGCCCGTACAAGCAAACCACTTCATTGCAGGATTCGCCACGTTTCAAGAAAACGCCCCATGTGCGCGTCACTCATGCGAGCAAGAGAGAGAGAGAGAGAGAAAGAGAAAAAAGAGAGAAGCATATACAACATACTTATTATTACGAGTAAGAAATTCGCCTGGCGAAGAACCCAAACATATGCAGTTGTCAGTACCGCAGCTACGGGTTTCATCTTCAGTGGAACTCCCCATAGGACTACGGAACGTGTGAGGGGTGTGTCGAGATGGGTGCCACTGGGGCATTCGGCGAAGCTCCCTATGGGGACATGAAACACGCGCGGGGCGTGCCGACATGGGTGGCGGAAGCGCATGTGAAGCCGCCACTGGGGCCTCCAGTGGAGCTCCCTATGGGGCCCCGAAGCATGATGCTGCTGCGGGGGGGGTGCCAGGATGGGTGGCGGAGACGCATGTAAGCGCCGCTACTGGGGCCTTCGGTGGAGCTCCCTATGGGGCCACGAAGCGCGTGAGGGGTGTACTGGGATGTGTGGTGGGGACGCATGTGAGCGCCGCCACTGGGGCCTTCGGTGCAGCTCCCTATGAGGCCACGAAGCGTGTGAGGGGTGTGCCGAATTGTGTGCGGGTGGTGACGCATGCGGGCGGTGCCACTGGGGCCTTCTGTGGAGCTCCTATGGGGCCACGAAACCTGTTGTTGTGAGGGGCGTGCCGGGATGGGTGGCGGGGACGCATGTGAGCGCGGCCGCTGGGGCCTTCGGTGGAGCTCCCTATGGGGCCACGAAGCGTGTGAGGGGTGTGCCGAATTGGGTGGGTGTGGGTGACGCATGTGAGCGCCGCCACTGGGGCCTCCGGTGGATGATGGGGCCACGAAACCTGTGAGGTATGTGCCGAAATGGGTGTTCGGGACGCATGCGCATGTGAGCACCGCCGCTGGGGCCTTCGGTGGGGCTCCCTATGGGGCCACGAAACGTGTGAGGGGTGTGCCGAATTGGGTGTGCGTGACGCATGCGGGCGGCAGCACTGGGGCCTTCGGTGGAGCTTCCTATGGGGCCACGAAGCGTGTGAGGGGTGTGCCCGAATTGGGTGTGCGGGACGCATGCGGGCGGCAGCACTGGGGCCTTCGGTGGGGTTCCCTATGGGGCCACGAAGCGTGTGAGGGGTGTGCCCGAATTGGGTGTGCTGCGCATGCGGGCGGCAGCACTGGGGCCTTCGGGGGGTGGGGCCACGCTCCCTGACGCATGGGGCCACGCCACGAAGCGTGTGAGGGGTGTGCCGAATTGGGTGTGCGTGACGCATGCGGGCGGCAGCACTGGGGCCTTCGGTGGGCTCCCTATGGGGCCACGAAACGTGTGAGGGGTGTGCCGAATTGGGTGTGCGGGACGCATGCGGGCGGCGCACTGGGGCCTTCGGTGGGCTCCCTATGGGGCCACGAAGCGTGTGAGGGGTGTGCCGAATGGGTGTGCGGGACGCATGCAGCTGGGGCCTTCGGTGGGGCTCCCTATGGGGCCACGAAAGCGTGTGAGGGGTGTGCCCAATTGGGTGTGCGGGACGCATGCGGGCGGCAGCACTGGGGCCTTCGGTGGGGCTCCCTATGGGGCCACGAAACGTGTGAGGGGTGTGCCGAATTGGTGTGCGGGACGCATGCGGGCGGCAGCACTGGGGCCTTCGGTGGGGCTCCCTATGGGGCCACGAAACGTGTGAGGGGTGTGCCGAATTGGGTGTGCGGGACGCATGCGGGCGGCAGCACTGGGGCCTTCGGTGGGGCTCCCTATGGGGCCACGAAGCGTGTGAGGGGTGTGCCGAATTGGGTGTGCGGGACGCATGCGGGCGGCAGCACTGGGGCCTTCGGTGGGGCTCCCTATGGGGCCACGAAACGTGTGAGGGGTGTGCCGAATTGGGTGTGCGGGACGCATGCGGGCGGCAGCACTGGGGCCTTCGGTGGGGCTCCCTATGGGGCCACGAAACGTGTGAGGGGTGTGCCGAAATGGGGGATGATGACGATGATGATGGAGGGCGGAGGGAGGAGGCAGCGGGAGGAAGGAGACGCGGGGCACCGTCCCTTCAAAACGAGGACCCAACACCACAGGATGGTTGGGAAATACAAATAACAAACATATATGTAATACAAACAGGAGAGAGAGAGAGAGAGAGAGAGAAAGAGAGAGAGAGAGGAATAACAAACAAACGACAGAAAGAGCGAACACAACAGAAACAAGAGGGTGAACGAGACAACCCCGTTTGAAATGGGCTGGCTCTCCATCAACCTCTCAGGTAAAGAATTCTCAATACTACCAATAGCTGTGGCCCGCAATACGTAGGGGACATGCCCGTCGAGAGCCTCTGGTAGAACATTAAACCGTATCCATCCCATGGCATGTGCTCACCCTCTGGTCATTACATGTCGGGGCTTATCAAAAAATTAGCCAGACGAAGGACCCAACCATATGCAGGTGTGAGTACCGCAATTGTGATTCCCGTTTTCGGTGGTGATCCCTATGGGGCAACGAACCGTGCTAGTGGCGTGCCGAAATGAATGGCGCGGTGCACAACGCGAACGAAAACGATTGATCTGAGCACGTAGGGAGACTGAGCGCGGGCGAATCTGAGCGCGAGCGCGTCTGACTGTGAATGAATCTGCGTGCGAGCGAATCTACGTGCATGAATGCGAGCATGCCCATGCACGGTGCAAGTGTATATGAATGCTACTAGTTTGTGAACGACTGCCTCTGAGTACTCGCGACGCCGGGCGTGGCCGCCGCAAGGAGCTCCCCCGGGACTCCCCGACGGCATCGCCCGCGCGCCGCGACGCCACCGCGAGGATCGCGCCCGCTCCCTCCCCTTCTTTTACTCCCTCTGTGCCCGCGCACTCAAAAGTCCAAAGCTGCGGGCGCAGCGCAGCGCGGAGTCCCAGCGACGCGCGCAGGTCGCCCCTTCGGTGGAGCTCCCTATGGGGCCACGAAACGTGCGAAGGGTGTGCCGAGACCTTCGGCGGCGCTCCCTGCGGGGCCACGAAACGTGCGAGGGGTGTGCCGAAATGGATGTGCGGGACGCATGCGGGCACACCCACTCGGACCTTCGGTGGAGCTCCGTATGGGGCCACGAAACGTGTGAGGGGTGTGCCGAAATGGGTGTGCGGGACGCATGCGGGCACACCCACTGGGACCTTCGGTGGAGCTCCCTATGGGGCCACGAAACGTGTGAGGGGTGTGCCGAAATGGGTGTGCGGGACGCATGCGGGCACACCCACTGGGACCTTCGGTGGGCTCCCTATGGGGCCACGAAACGTGTGAGGGTGTGCCGAAATGGGTGTGCGGGACGCATGCGGGCACACACACTGGGACCTTCGGTGGAGCTCCCTATGGGGCCACGAAACGTGTGAGGGGTGTGCCGAAATGGGTGTGCGGGACGCATGCGGGCACACACACTGGGACCTTCTGTGGAGCTCCGTATGGGGTCACGAACGTGTGAGGGGTGTACCGAAATGAGTGTGCGGGACGCATGCGGGCACACACACTGGGACCTTCGGTGGAGCTCCCTATGAGGCCACGAAACACGTGAGGGGTGTGCCGAAATGGGTGTGCGGGACGCATGCGGGCACACGCACTGGGACCTTCGGTGGAGCTCCCTATGGGGTCACGAAACGTGTGAGGGGTGTGCCGAAATCGGTGTGCGGGACGCATGCGGGCACACCCACTGGGACCTTCGGTGGAGCTCCTTGTAAGGCCACGAAACGTGTGCCGAAATGGGTGTGCGGGACGCATGCGGGCACACCCACTGAGACCTTCGGTGGAGCTCGCTATGGGGCCACGAAACGTGTGAGGGGTGTGCCGAAATCGGTGTGCGGGACGCATGCGGGCACACCCACTGGGACCTTCGGTGGAGCTCCTTATGAGGCCACGAAACGTGTGCCGAAATGGGTGTGCGGGACGCATGCGGGCACACCCACTGAGACCTTCGGTGGAGCTCGCTATGGGGCCACGAAACGTGTGAGGGGTGTGCCGAAATGGGTGTGCGGGACGCATGCGGGCACACCCAGTGGGACCTTCGGTGGAGCTCCCTATGGGGCCACGAAACGTGTGAGGGGTGTGCCGAAATGGGTGTGCGGGACGCATGCGGGCACACCCACTGGGACCTTCGGTGGAGCTCCCTATGGGGCCACGAAACGTGTGAGGGGTGTGCCGAGATGGGTGTGCGGGACGCATGCGGGCACACCCACTGGGACCTTCGGTGGAGCGCCCTATGGGGCCTCGAAACGTGTGAAGGGTGTGCCGAAATGTGTGTGGGGGACGCATGCGGGCACACTCACTGGGACCTTCTGTGGAGCTCCCTATGGGGCCACGAAACGTGTGAGGGGTGTGCCGAAATGGGTGTGCGGGACGCATGCGGGCACACCCACTGGGACCTTCGGTGGAGCTCCCTATGGGGCCACGAAACG